ATCTATGGAAGCAAGAGGTCCTCAAGTAATGTTTGGTGTTGGTGCATGGGAACAAATAGTCGACAGGTTTTTGTATTGTGCAAACTCTTCAAAGGAAACAGGTGGAAGTAAAACGATTTCAGGTGAAAACTTACCTGCACACAGTCACTACATAGATTTAAGTACATCTCAAGCAGGTTGGCATAAGCATAGATTTTGGGATTGGTCAGCAATGAAAAAAGGTAAAGGATATGATGTTAAAGACGACGTTCAGTTTGCTATAAATTGTTTCTGGGGTAACACTCAGGGAGATGGAAACCATACACATCGCGTTTCAGGGTATACGCAAACAACGGGACAAAGTAAAGACTACATGCCACCTTACATGACAGTTTACGCATGGTATAGAATTGCTTAGTCGTCATTTTCAACTTCTTTAGCATATTCGTCAGGAGTTGTCTTATATTTGTTAGGAACTGTCTTTGAAAGTATACCACCTTGAACTTTGACAAGTTTGAAACGAGGTCTGACAATAGTAGTTTTATCTTCTGCTTGCAGTGTGTACATTTTGCCATGTTTGCCTAAAACTTCATAATATTCTCTTGTATACTTTCTTCTATTTTTACGAACACGAATGTGAGTACCTGTCGGGTACTTGTTGTTGTCATAGTCAATAGTATTTTCATATGGGTCGCGTTTAGGTATTTCTATTTTTACTTTGTCACCTTTCTGAAGTTTGAAGCCTGGCATTCTTTCTTGTTTGTCTCTTTTGACTAAATTATTAAATATATAGTCTTTCTCTAAGTCAGGGTTGTTTTTCATTTCTTCGGGGGAGTGGTTTCCCAAACCTTTTTGTTTACGGCTATTGTAAATATTTAAAACTTGTCTCATCTTTGCCATGGAGAAGTGTCTGTATTTGTCGTCATATGACATTTCATTTGCTTCACCACCTTGTGGTTGGTTTAAGTCTCTTAACATTTTTATACAACTGTCAATGACACCAAGAGCAGAATGGTTTTGGTCGACAATGAAATATTGGTTTACATTTTTTGAACGCAGATAGTTTTTTACATCGTCTGATTTGAAAGAACTTTCTTGGTCAGATGTCAGTTTTGTTGGATGGTATTTGTCAACGAATATTGTCAAAGCTGCTAAGACATCTAAAATATTTTTAGACTGTAATGGTATGGCTTCACAGTATCTTGTGTTTTGACCAACAAATATTAGCCAGTATGGTGGTCCATCTGTTCTAACTCTCGGAATGTTTTCCAAGATATCCATAAACCAAGCATTTGGTGTTGAACTAAAGATTTTTACCATGAGTGCTTTTTTTGTTGCCTTAGAAACATAGGGGTCCTTGTTTGGATTCGTCATTTTTTACCCTGTAAGAAATGGGTTTATTTGGCGCATTAGCAGGAGTTGCATCCAGATTTTTACCCGCAGTGGGAACAATAGCCAGAGGTGTATTTGGAGTTGGAAGGAAGATTTTGAGTACATTAGGTATACTTAAAGAGAAAGCACAACCTATTATACAAACTGTACAGAAAGGTTGGGATGTAGCACGAGATGCAACAAATCTTATTCCAAATCCTGAAACAAGAGGAAAAGTTCAAGGATGGATGGACAATGTAGGAAGACAAGCAGGAAACTATTATAACAAAGCAAATGACTACTATAACCAAGCAGGACACTATATGAACCAAGGTGAAAGATTCTTTAACAGAGGATATAACCATGCACAACAGTGGGTAAACAATAACCAACCTCAACCGCCTCAAACGTGGGGAATGTAAATTTTTTTACTGAGATGAAATGAACAATACAGCATTGAGACAAATGGGTTCAAGATGGATTTGTCGACTTCCAGCAGTTACACAACGTGTTTGTCAAGTTCTTCCTATACCTCAGGAAGTTTTAGACCGACTTAAAAAACAACAACAACCAGTTGAAAACAAACCAAACTAAATTTTTTACTGAGATGAAATGACCGAAGAAGTTGAAACGGTAGATTTGACACCACAAACAAAAAGTTCAGAACCATTGTCAAACCTGTCAAAGAACTTACAGATGAAGAGAAAAATTCAATAATAGAAGGTGCAAGGTCTGGAAATACAAACCCTAACTATAAAGTCACTTTTCATAGAAATGGAACGGCTAGTATCTCAAAAAAGAAACAGACTCTCACAAATAAAATATTGAAGTCTGGAGGAGCTTTCGAGACAACAGATGGAAAAGTTTACTTCACTGACCAACAGTTCATTATAGAACATCTCATTGACTTAGAGTCGAAATATTCTAAACTTTACAACAAACACAAAAAGTTGAAAGGAAAACAAAAACAAATGGCATATGATATTTATGAAGATGTTGACGACACAACCATACCTGCAAGTGAGGTAAAGTCAGGTGAACCGAAAAGTGACGAAAAACCGATAGAAGAAGAGAAACCAAAAACTGAAGATAAACCAAAACCAAAGTTTAGTATTGGAACTAAACCAAGTCAACCTTCATTAGCTGGTATGAGTTGGCGTCAAAGACTTATGGCTTCAGGTGGCTATGTAAAGTAAAGAAAAAAATATTTTTTTATTTTATTTGAAATGTACGCTGAGTTTGTTGGAACAGACCGTTGGAAAACTTGTTTGTTAGATGAGAAATATGAAATTCACTGTTGTGAGTCATTTGAAGTCAGAAACAAAAAGACAAAAAGAGTTTTAAGCGGATGGGAGCGAAATGACGGATATGCTCTTATGGATATGAGTGGAAAAAACTATTTTAAACATATTGTCATTGCAACTCATTTTATACCGAACCCTAACAATCTACCTTTTGTAGACCACATAAACCATATAAGAAACGACAATAGACTTGAAAATTTACGTTGGGTTACTCGTTCTGAAAACAATAAGAACAAAAGCAAATTTAGAGATATTGTATTCGAATTTGTCGACGAACTAGAAGATGAAGCAATTGAAATTACAGACTATGGCGAGCATACGTTTGAGTTTTACTACTATAGCGAAGAACAAGACTCTTTCTACTTTTATACCGGCGTAAACTATAGGAAATTACAAGTATGTTTTACTAAGGCGGGCTATGCTTATGTAAACGCTAGAGATACAGATGGAAAATACGTTAGACTATATCTTAACAAATTCAAGAAGCTATATGGCATACCATTTTAAAACGTTTTTTAAACCATATATTTTTACATATATTAAATGCTTCAGGTTGAAAAACAAAGAACAAAAGTAGCAGATACAAAACCGTTAGACTATATCTTTACAAACGCTGGTAGGACTATTTCAGATGAGGAAATTTCATCCCGATCTTACAGGTTTGACTATCCAGTTCGTTGGCTTCAAAGTCCTTCAGAAGCAAAGGCAATAGGATTTAGAAGAGTTTTGTTTTCAAATAGAACTAACGCATTTATGTTCGCAGTAGATTTTCATGGGCAGTATAAAGGTTCTGATGGTCTAATAGACAAATTTGATGAAATGAGAATCTTTACAGTTCGTTCAGACGAAAGTCTTGAGAAAACTCTAAATGACTTTCAAACTCAAATGAACAAATATTATTGGGAATTTCAAGAAAAATACGACTCTTTACTAAATGGAACATACTATCTGAAACTAGAATATGACAAGATGAACTCCACCGTTTCATTTCAAAATATTGAAATTAACCCTCCAAGAGATACACAGTTTTTATATTGGGGAGTAGACAAACGTTCTTGGGCACAATTTCTTCGGTTACTAAACCAGAACGAACCATTACCACCTGACGGTCCTTTTAAATTTATACTTCCACCAGCAGATTTGACAGTTTATAGAAACGTGTTTGACCCTCAAAATGTTATGTGTCATGCAAGTTTCAGTTCAAGCAACAGTAGTTTTCTATGTATCGGTAAGGACTTTTATGACTTTGCTTCTAAATTCTACGAACTACCTAGTAACAGTTTCTCTGACTTTCAAGTTTGGTTCACAACAAACGGTGTGCAGCATATTATACCATTGTACTATGACTTTTATCTCGAATTGTCTTTCATATACAACTACGGAAAAGTGCTGAAAAAGTATTGAAAAATAAAGTTTATGTTAGCATGTTAGATCTAACACGTTTTCTAACCACTTTTCTAACATCGTAGAAAACTCATGAAAACAATTTATTTTTGACACTTTCACAAAAAACATAAAAAAGTGAGTTAAAATGAGATGTTTACTGAACTGGTTGGATGCCGCCTTCTGAGATTATGTAGAATGGTTGACCCGAGAAGTGGAACAGTGCTCTGAGAATTTGTATAATTCGTGGAATTGGACTCTCTCTGTTTGGAAGTAGTATCCAAGGACGTTTGTTTAGGAACTTAACAAGAGCTTCTCTTTTGGCGTCGAAAGGAGTGTTTGTCTGTATTTGAATTGGAATTCCAGTCGAAATCTCGAGAGTCAAGGCAGCCCTTCCAGAAATAGTGGTGAACTTGACCTTGGGCTTCATGACCTTGCGCAAGTAGTCTTTAACAAGCTCGTTAATTTAAATTAGGTAAATTGCCTCATCTAATGGCTCGATGTTGTCCATTGCTACTGTCAGAAAAAGTACTGCTACTGTCAGTAAAAGTACTGCTACTGTCAGTAAAAGTACTGCTACTGTCAGTAAAAGTACTGCTACTGTCAGTAAAAGTACTGCTACTGTCAGTAAAAGTACTGCTATTGTCAGTAAAAAGGAAAATTTGAGAGGGTTTTCGACGATAAAGTACTGCTACTGTCAGTAAAAGTACTGCTACTGTCAGTAAAAGTACTGCTACTGTCAGTAAAAGTACTGCTACTGTCAGAAAAAGTACTGCTACTGTCAGTAAAAGTACTGCTACTGTCAGAAAAAGTACTGCTACTGTCAGTAAAAGTACTGCTACTGTCAGTAGCAGTACTGCTAGTAGCAGAGATTTTTATCGTTGTGGTCCGACGGTTAAGCCACAAACGAATGTCCGACGTCCCACCAAAAAATATTTTTTTATTTTTATTGTAAGAACAGAAATGTCAGTCGAAGCAAAAACGTTCACGAACAAATCTAATGGCGAAACATTCACAAAAGGCACTTACAACGGTATTGAAGTCTTACGTAGAGACAAGGATGGTTATATTAACGCAACAAATATGTGTCAGCAGTTTAGGAAGGACTTTAGAAGGTTGTTGGAAAATAAGTCCTGGGAAGAGTATTTTGAGGCATTTTGTGAAGAATATACCAACCCGCGGAAAACAGCGGGTTGCTTTTTATACAAAATTCATGCAGGAATTTCTGATGAAATCAAACAGGTTAGAGGAATGTATGTAGACCCAAGACTTGTAAACTATATAGCAATGTGGGCTTCTCCAAAATATTGTATAGCAGTTGGAAAAATTCTGGACTCCATAGACAAGAAAGTTCATGAGAAATTAGATGAAGAAGAACTTGAAGATACAGTAGAGAATGCAAAACCTTTGTTCGAAGAAGAAGTTAGAAAAATGCATGAAAAACAAATAGAACATGAACGTGAGATATGTTCTGGTTATAGAGATTCTCCATACGAACTAGACCAATGGGAACAAGAAGATTTAAAGAGAGAATTTAGAGAATATGAACTCGCTAAGATAGCATTAGAAGCTGCAGAAAAGAAGTTAAAAGTTTGGGGTCGTTTTGTACAAAAATATTGTGAGTAAATGAACCATTTATTTTTTATTGAATTCAGCAAAAATATATTTTAGGGTAGCATGTTAGATCTAACACGTTTTCTAACACGTTTTCTAACATCGTAGAAAACTCATGAAAACAATTTATTTTTGACCTAAAGACGCAAAGCGGTGGGACATAGCCCAAAAAATAAAGTTTATGTTAGAATGTTAGATCTAACACGTTTTCTAACACGTTTTCTAACATCGTAGAAAACTCATGAAAATCATGAAATTTACACCAAAAATAAAGTTTATGTTAGAATGTTAGATCTAACACGTTTTCTAACACGTTTTCTAACATCGTAGAAAACTCTTGAATTTTCATGAATTTCCTTAAGATAGAAAAAGTATTGAAAAATAATGTTTATGTTAGAATGTTAGATCTAACATGTTTTCTAACATGTTTTCTAACATGGTCTAAAACTCTTGAAATTTCATGAATGGCTCGATGTTGTCCATTGTTCTGTTTCAGAACAATGTCCGACGTACCACCAAAAAATATATTTTATGTTAGCATGTTAGATCTAACACGTTTTCTAACCTCATTTCTAACATCGTAGAAAACTCTCGAAATTCATGAGTTTTGACACTTTCACAAAAAACATAAAAAATAAAGTTAGTTTTTTTAAAAAAATATTTTTTATTCTTATTGTAAGAACATGTTAGCAACAACTTTACCAAACTCGTTAGTCATGAATCCTACGTCAATGTTGGTAGAGATGAAAAGCTTCATTCCTTCTTCATATACTTTTGAAACAAAAATCCAGAAGATAAAGCAAGAACTTTTAACAAATAATTTAGACTGTAGTGCGAAAGATGAAACAAATGAACAGTATCTTTATGAAATGCAGGACATTATTGACCATTTACCTAAACTTCCTGAAATACAACAACAAAAGCTCACTATTCCAGAATTCGATGAAATAGAAGTCAAAGCAACTGACTCAGTAGAAATAAAGAAGTTCATACGAAAGGTAAACTATGAGTTTCTAGGATTTCATTGCAACCATAAGGTTATGGACAAAGATTGCGACATGGTATATAAGAACATCTCTGACATATATAAATCTGAAGAATTTAAGACCTACGACAACTTTGTTTCGTTAGTTGCTGAATGTGTATGGCAGATAAGAGATAAAGATAGAAGAGGCAAAGTATGGAACGAACAAATAAGACCCGCTATGTTTGAGTTAAAGAAAACCATTGACGCCTTAGTTGTTTTAGCAGGTAAGGTTTCAGAATATAACGCAAAAATGAACCCGCAATGTTCTAAATGTAAAGCAGCAATGAGGAAATATAACTACTCCGTCAAAGAGATAGAACGTATGAGAAACGACTATGCAGACTTAAAGAAAGAAGCAGAAAAGCCAGCAGAAGATAAAATGGACATGTTAGCATTTCTGAACAAAAACTATCCAACTGCAGAAGATTTCCTTCTATCTGATGTCAAGAAGAAGTATAAAGAAACTTTCGGTATCGTTAAAACATTCGATGTACTGACAGAAGAAATAGAAGCTACAAAATTGTTTAGAGTCATGAACCATCGCAACATATACCATGTAAAACGCTTGTAAATAGTTATGTTAGAAAACGTGTTAGAAAACATGTTAGATCTAACATGCTAACATAAACATTATTTTTACTGAATTCCGTATGAAATTTCATGAGTTTTGTGTGTTTTAGGCCATGTTAGAAAACGTGTTAGAAAACATGTTAGATCTAACATTCTAACATAAACATTATTTTTGCTGAAAAATGACCAAATTTCATGAATTTCCTCATAAGATTGCTACCCTCGAAAAACCGAGGATAGAGATTCCGTATGAAAACAGTGAAGAACAGCGAGTACGTAAGAAAACGTAGTCGCCAAAACTCTATGAAAATCATGAAGCACAGCGAGACCGACTTCCTTCGGGGTCGCCAAAACTCTATGAAAATCGTGAAAAATAACAGAGTATTTTGACAACTTCAAACAAGTAGAGTAAATGAACCATTTATTTTTCAAGCTTGACTTTTTACAATTTGAACTTTGTTTGCGTAGATATGAATTCTGAAAGAAGTATGAGGGTCTTGTATGACTTTGTACTTCTCCCATAGTTCATGTCTGTCAAACTTACCTGCCATGGACTCTTTCATAAGTTCCATGAAATCGTCTTCTGACAATCCTGGGAAAAGTATAATGTCAGTAAGTATTCTCTTTACATCCTTACTTAAACTCTTTGCTGTCTGTACACAAATGACAACAGAGATGTTGAAGTGTCTGAGCTTCTTAAGAATTCGACACATATCTTGTTCTCTATTCTTTAACAAAGGATGAGAGGCGAAATCATCTAAGATAAGAAGACATCTGTGAGGGTAAGTCTTCCAATCGTAAGATTGCAATTTCTTCGAAATGTATTCTATCTCTTTCTGTTTGTTTCTGAAGTGTTTCTTCTCTAATATTCTCTGCATTTCCTCATTTGGGTCTTTAAACTTCGAATTTATATACTCATTTATAGCATTGTACTTCAAAACTCTTCTTTGGTACTTCTTTATCCAATCTAACAACTCAGTATCCTTTATACATACTAACTTAGACTTTTTTATAATATCTTTGAACGAATTGACGGTTTGGTCAAATTGACCAGAAGTACTACAAATAACAACTAACTCATAGAATGGGTTCTTCTCATCTAGTTCTTGTTGTTGTGCAGCCATTTTAAGATAAGTGAAAGTCTTACCCGACCCAGGTGGTGCAATTAGACCTGTTATACCATTCTGAGCAAATAAGAACTTGTCATGTATAGGCTTTATCTGAGCATTTTCTAACTTCCTCTTGTTCTTGTTTAAAACATTCTCAAATTTCTTGTCAATGTCAGCAAACTTTTTTTCTAACATATTTTTAGAAAAATTAAAATTTTTATCTTTTAGAAAATGTCTAGCGATTTCGCTATCTATATTCGAGACAAACTTTTCGACAGCAAAACATCTGTCGACCATAAAATCTTACATAGTGTAAACAAGAAAGGTGAATTTGTTCTAAAGTTCTGTTTCTGGGAATATGACAAGAACCATAAAACATTAGGCAGAGCAGTCTTTAAGTTTGTCAATGACAGACTTGTTGACAGAGATGACGCCTCTTGGAGAGATGAAGTCCAACAAAAGTTCTTAGAATGCAAAGATGACACATGCGCTGTTCTTGAAGATGAAATAGAAAACAGAATAGAAGAGCTATTAAAGGACAAAGAACTTTTACAGAAATATGGTTCTGAGAAGTTTGACATAACTCCACCAGAAAAGAAGAAGAAAGGAAAGAAAGAGAAAAAAGTAGAAGAGAAGAAAGAACCTGAACCAGAGCCAGTTCCAGAGAAGGTGAGATATGACATGTAAAAATAAAATTTTATTTTTAGAACATTTCTGGGTCAATGTCAATGTTCTCTTCCTCTTTAGGAGTAAACACTGGCTTAGACTCTAAAATCTTTTTACCTAATTTACCTTGAACTTCAACTATCTTAGACTCATAATATTCATAGTCGTCTGCTTTCTTTGGTTCATAAGGTATAACAAGTTTGTATGCTTTGCCTTCTTTAAGGTTTGAAAACCTTCTGTCAAAATTTTCTTTGACTGTTAACAAACCTTCTATGTCTAAGTCTTCAAATGTTGCACCATTTTTAGTCACAATAGCAAACTTAACTGGTTCGATGTTCCAAACTTTGCTGAATGAAGACTTTTCAAAATGGTAGAAGTAAACATTCAAATATGTGAATGGGTCTAGTTCTTCTTTAAGTCCTGACATATACTTGTTTACTGAGATGAATTTCGTCATCTTTTCTATCGGATAAAAAAATATTTTTTTAAAATTTACTCAGAAAAATTATTTCTTTCTATATTTGCCATTCCGAACTTTGAAAAGATGTTTTATACCAGCATAGAATTTTTCTCTAGAGCTTGGTCTTATATCGTTTTCATAACAATATTTTCTATATTCTTCATATAAAGCCTTTTTTTCATACATTTCATAAGGACAATCTAACCAGAATAGCGCATATCCATTTTCGTTATCTAGGTCTCTATATGTTTCTTCTGTTTGTAGAATTTCGCTTTCTCTATTTAGTTCTATGTCTATATATTGTGGCTTAAAAAGATGTGGGCAAGAAGGGTCTGGCGCTATGTAAAAAGTTAATTTTTCTGTCATCTTTTCTATCGGATAAAAAAAATATTTTTTTTTAAAATTTACTCATAAAAATTTTTCTTTGTATATACACCATTCTGAACATCTAAAAGATTTTTGACATTTGCCAAGAATGTTCGTTTAGAAGCTGCCATATAACCATATTCTTGACAATATTGTTTATACGAATCGTACAATGACCTTTCATCTAAACACTCAAAGTTAGTCTCATCTATAAACAGTTCATATACACTCTTGTTTGCTTCTAACAATGTTTGTCTCTCTTCTGTATGTGGAATTTGTCTTGGATTGAACTTAGAAATATCTAATGTCATAAAATATGAGAACAAGTGGTTGTAAAAGTCAGATGTCAAACATTCTGACAAAGCGTCAAAATATTCAGTATCTTGCATATGAGAATCTGACGTTCTGACAACTACATATCTTCTGTCAGAACTTTCTAACTTCATCGGAACAACATTGTTTGAAACCATAATGAAATTTGCAACATTTTCACAAACTCTTTGGTCTTTATATTTTCTTTCAACAACTCCAACTTTGTCTGTTATAAGACTCTTCAAAGCATCTGAGTTCAAAACTTTTGTTGTATCTATACTTTGAAGTTCGTTACATACTATAAGTTTCATATTCTCTATTGAAGAGTTAAACTTGCCACAGATGTTTTCTAAGTTTGTCATATTCGGGTTCGAATAGCCCTCTAACAGTTTGCATAAGATATCTGTAAAGAAAGTATTCTTACCAGTTCCTTGTTTTCCAATTATAATGAGAGCAGTTTCATTTTTAGCACTTGGATGTTGTAAGATGTTTGCAAACCAACATAAGATATACTCATAAACCTTTTCGTTTCCATTGCATATAATTTCTTTGACATGGTCTAACCAAGCTTCTATAATATTTTCTTTCCATTCTACTTGTTCGTATTTATATCCAGTGAAGATAGAATAGAAGTTTGGAGAAGGTGTATAGAACTTTATACCTCGAACTGAAAAATCTTCAAGTTTTGACAATAAGATATCCAAGCATCTAACATCTTCATGCCAACTTGTACGACTTTTATTTTCTTAAGTTTCTGTCTACATTCTTGTTCTGACACTATTGTCGCTCTTGGTTTGTTAAAGACAACATCCCATTCTTTCATGACATAACATTCTGGGGCAGAGTCGACATAAATGACTAAACGTTTCAAATTCTCGACTGCTTTGTTATAGTCTCTAAATGGACACATATTTCTGAATGCTTGGAAGTCATAAAAATCTGAAACATCTATTCTGTACATTTTTATAAAAATAAAAAAAAATATTTTTTTTTATTCTTGAGCTATTTGTTGCATTTGTTGTTCTTGAGCTATTTGTTGTTCTTGAGCTATTTGTTGTTGAAGTTGTTCTTGTAATACAATACTTTCACCAGTTGCATCTTCCAATTCGAAACTTTCTGCCGTCATTGACAAATACATAGGACATAAAAGTTTTACAGGAACAAAGTTTGCGTCAACTAAGGTTAAGTTTATGTTTGCTAAAGTGTTTGAGTTTACTAAAGCTGAAAACTCTGCATTCGAATGAACAATAGGCAAACCAGCAGAGAATGTATTGTTTATACGCATAAGTATCTTTTGGTCATAATAGTTTCTGTCGACATTCGAATAGCACTTTGAACCTAAGTTTGAAACAATATATAAAATAGGTGTGCTTAAAGTCAATGGAATAGACATTCCTTGTATGACACCTTTTCCTGTTATAGGAAACTGTTGGTAGTAAAAACCAGATATAAGTTTTGTATTATAGCTCATATTGTTTATAGTAAACTCAGTCGGACATCCAAACATAATGAAACCTGCTCTAGTTGCAGCACATGTTACACTCGTCCTTAAAGTATTAAATAAGTCAACAAAACCTGTTGGTGGTATATCTGAGTAAGTATCTTCAAAGGAGTATTTTTTACCATTCACAACAATAAAATCTTCTGGTGTCAAAAGAGCAAAACAGGCTTTAGTCGTCATTGTGTTTAAGGTTAGTTTACAATATCGTCCTTGAGGACTTTGTAAGTTTGTTGTTATAGAATTATATGACTCAGGGTTTTTAGTCGTAATAGTATAAACCATTGTGTCTTCTGCCATTTACTTAGCAAATAAATTTTAATGAAATGTTGTGGTCGTCAAATATTTTTATGACGTCTGGGAAACTATACTTTAAGTTCAACGTTTCACCTCCTTTCATAACGTATATCTTGTCAATGACATTATATGAAACACCACAGCAACTAACGTCGGGTTCTATTTCTTTGATGTTTATATCGTCTGCCTCTGTCAAAAGTTTCAATAGTTCTTTCAAAACTTCATGAGGTGCGATGACATATGAGTTCACTTTTACAGGGTTGTGTTCGACCAAGTTTAACATTATACCTAAAGCTTGACAAATCTTCTCCTGAGTTTTAAGCTTATCTTTAAGTTGCATGTAGTCGTTTCGAATATCTGCAACAGAACTCAAGTCTCTGCTAACTTCAGGGTATGTTGGTTGTTCTTTTACAGGAACAATTGTTATACCATCTTCGTCTTCGTATGGTTTCCCCACTTCAACATCTCTTTCTTTGACATTGACCAAACAACACTTTGACTGTTTGTTTGAGTTGGTGAATTTAACTTCACATCTGCCACTGCCATTAAACCTTTTGAAACACTTACGCTTTTATTTTTCGGAAATGACATTTTACTACAAATAAAAAGATGGACGTATTCGGATATCTCTTCGAATTGAAGCAAAACAAGGTTTATACTCACAAGCAATACAAATACATTGACAGAATAGTTCTTTACACAAACAATGGAAAATGTTATAGAATAGCAGTTTTTGCTGAACCAAAATATTTTCATAAAGCAAAGAAAGTTGGTATAACTGAAATGGTGAAAGTTCTTGAAGCAGACAAAAATATAACTTCAAAACTTACAGATATTTCTAAAGGTAAGTTTATAATACAATATTATGTCAAAACTGGCGTACTGTCAATATTTGACGGAGAGAAGTCAGTTCAAGAACAACCTTACTGACCTGCTGCCAAAATCTGCTCGATGGAAGCTGTCGTTATGCCAATCTGAGGAGCCCCAGCAGGTTTCATCGAACGAATCTTCAAAGAGCATCTTCCGTGAAAAGTGCTATTGGTTTTGTAAACTTCTTTGCTCAGTTCATATGGACCGTCTCTGTCACCAGTATATTGTATTTGTACAGTACCAACAGTTGAAATACCACCCATAAAGTCTTCTGAGTCAGCAAATGGAATGCCAAGCCAAAAGTTTGAACGGTCTCCATTTGTATATTGAGTTTTTTGACTTCCTGTATGAGTCCATACTTTCACATATGGCATAATAGAACTTTGCATTTCAGGGTTAATGGTTGTTGTGAAGTTGTTGTTAAAGTTCATAGCATCTAATGTCAAGTTGTATGACCTCATATCCTCAACTGTAGAATATTCTTCTCTTGGATAATATTTGCCATCTATGTTTATATGATATTAATACCAGGGTTGTAGAAACAAGAATAGTCATTTATAGTTCGTCTGAACAGTACAAACATAGTATCTGCGTGTTTCATTGCAGTTGTTAAAGCAATATCTGTTCTTGCACCTGCGGTTCCTGGATTTTGGTTTCCAACTTCACCTGCAAAGTCTTTGACAGATATTTGGTGTATAGGGAACATAAGTGGAACTGCAATATATTTGGCAGCTAAAGCATTTGAAATATCTGGGTCCAACATATAGACTGCAAGTCTGCTTTCTATTCTCTTGCATTCAAACTGTTCGCATGTAAACCTAACTGGGTCCCAAGCAGTTCCAGCAGCATTGAAATAATACCTTACTTCAGTGTTGAGGTTTGAGAAACCAAAGTCTAAGTCAACCTTATCTTTGCAAAATTCGGCGAATGACGTTTGATTTGCTCCCTTTACGTCTGTAAGAGTGAATGGGTCTTGCGTTGGTGCAATGACTAAGTTATTTTGCTTGGAGTAAGTTCGATAGAAATTTTTTCCTGCCCAGTTTGGCAAGTATCTTAAAAACCTGAAGATGAGGAAAGATGACAAAGGAACTCTAAGTTTCAGTTTTACTTTAGTGACAGCATTTCCATCTGAACCAGAAAGTTAACATAAACTCCTGGAACGTTAGGGTCAAGTCTTCTTATTTTCTCAATGGTTGCGTACTGGTCTGTTTGTTCTCTAGCTTGTGGTTGTACTGAGTTTCTCAAAGCGAACCATTCATAGTTTGCCCATGTTACTGTTTGGACTAGGTCAGAGTTAGAATATATCTTATATCCCATGAAAACTTCTGGAGCATATTGGTATCCGACATAGAAAATTCCATTGCAACCTTTCTTGTCAGACAACTTGGTAGAAGGTTTTATTTCAATGTCTTGTTCCACGTATAAGAATGAGTTGTCAATAGAAATTATATGAAACCTGTCGCAAGCAATATCTACTGTTGTTGAAGAACCTTCACCAAACTCACCTACATTTCCATAAGAAACAGCAGTTGTATATTCGTAAGTTCCAGGAACTATTTCTGACCTTCTAATGGCATTGTCGCATTCGTTATACCATTCGGAAACATTTCCATTCATGGCATCCAAAACTGTTGGCGTTATATTCTGAGCGGCGTACATTTCATATGGGTAAAAATATAGAATAGTTGGATTTATTTGTCATAATAGAACCCACGTGGACCAAGCTTTACTTTCTTCCTGACTGAGTTTTTAACTCTTCTTTTTCCTTCATTGCCACTACTTTCACTAGATGAAGTTACTTCTTCACTACTTTCTACAACTCTTCTCTTCTTCTTTGGTGCCGCTTTTGGTAACTTGCCCTCTGCTTCAAGTTGTTGCATCTTTGCCTCATGTTCACCTAGTATGTTGTAAATTTCCCATGTCCTTTTTGCCTTTGGGCTCTGGTCGCCCATCTCAGGTAACCTATATCCTAGAAAGAGTTTGTCATAGTTTGTATTTGAGTCTTCGCGTATTGTTTGTATGACTCTTTCCTGAGTTTCAGGTTCAAGCTCTTCAAACAGTGCCTGTCCATATGGAATAAGCTCGTTTCCAAATATATGTTTTTGTAGCCATTCTGGTTTTCTTTCCATGTTACCAATAATATCTTTTGTGAATGGGAAAGCTTCTACCCAATGTTTTAGTCTTGCGTCATTTATTTCTGTAGTTGGTTTTATTTTGTCAAGGAACATGTTTTTCAATACTAACATTTCATTTGGTACTGTCCATTTGAGTTTTCTTAAATATTCATCCCTTCTCAGTTCATTGTCTGCAAAGTAAGTTTTTATGACATTTTGCAAACTTTCGTTTGCAAGGTCATGTACAATAGGTTCTCTTCCTTCGCTCTCCCTAACTTTCTTTCTAAACTCTTCACCAAATATACCATCTCTATGGTTCTGTGTAGTTCTTTGAGATAAATGTTCTAGAACGTCAGGTGTATATTTCCATCAGCCATGTTCATTTCATACTGGTCCAAAATATCTGCATCTTTCATATCTTTCAATGGCATTAAAGCCGCGCTGAAAATACCAGCTATATCTGGTTCACCATTCACTTCCATTGCGTCTACAACTTCTTGGAATTGTGGTTGTAAGTTTATGAACCACCTATCCGAATTAGCTTTATGACCCCATCTCATTGTAGTTCCATAGTCTGCAGAAACAAAAGTAGGTCTGTTTCCATCTTGGTTAGGTTCTGAATGAACTTTAAACAATGTTTCATTTCTATATGTTTTCTTGAAATTTAACCTTTTATTTTCACCGAGTTCATCCAAAGATTGAACGTTAAATGCTCGTAAGTAAAAAGGGTTGTTGTATTTGTGTACATTTTCTTTCAGTACTTCCATTCTATGCTGAATATTTTCATCTGGTGTTGGAGTCTTTTGTATGTCGGCAAACATTTTTCGATATTCTTCTACTATGTCAGCCGAATTTTTTTTAGACTCTTGGAAAGGTTCCATATTCTCCGCATACACTTGTTGAAGGTCAAGATTTTTCGGCTGTTCCAAATCTTCATCTAGTTCTGTGAAGTTAGTTTCCAAAGGAGGGACTTGTTCGTTTCCTTCAGGCTCTTCTAGCTGTTGTTGCTGAACTATTTCTTCCATGTCTGGTTGTATCTGAACTTCTTCCTGTGGAGTTTCTTGTACCTCATCTGCTGGCATTTCATATATTCCGAGACCGTTTTCAACAATTTCCCTATCTACGTCATCCGCATTCATAAGCCTTTGTTCTTTCGTTCCGTCTCTATTTTTTACGCGTTTCATGACGAAAGTTGAATTGTCATTTAGCTCTGACATCAAATATCTCGGAGTAAATTCGTTCATGTCATTTGGATGATATGCTATTAAATCATATCTCTTAGCGAGCTTGTATTTTCCAGGTTTGAAATTATATCCCATTTGGTGCTGAGTCATAAAGCTAAATAGGTTCGGGTCAGTATTTCCATCCTTGAACTTTCTAATAGCTTCTTTATATCTGTCACTAAAGTTAACAGTATCTGGGAAACCACACTCTTCCTTCAGCATTTTTAAGAATTCTTGGTTTCCTTGCTCTGTTTGTGCTGGTTGTGGAGGTGGTTGTTGTTGTGCAGGGTTTTGAACTGTTGGTTGTTGTGCTGGTTGTTGTTGTTGTGCTGGATTTTGAACTGTTGGTTGTTGTGCTGGATTTTGAACTGTTGGTTGTTGTTTTGGTGCATGCCTGTGTCTATGTCCATGTGACGATGTAAATGTTTTAGGTAGTCCTGGTGCAGGTGCTTCTCTTGGAGGGTTTGGTGGTATATAAGTTCCACCAGCTGGCACATATGTTCCATCTGCAGCATAATGTCCTACCTGACTTTTCGTTTTTAAGAAAGCATTTACTAGGTCTGTTTTGGTCTGTTGTAACTCTTTTTCTTGACTTTCCACAACAGTTGCTCTAACGGAGTCATAGGCACTTTGAACTGCCTGTCTCGTTGCTGCATCTGTTATTTTCGTCATATTTTGTGCTACTTCTCTTAACTCTTTGTCGAAACCTTCAGACTTCAGTTTCTTTCCAGATGAGAAGTCGTTCACTTGTTTCACCTTACTATGAAGAGCTTCGAAGGCATTCTTAAAGTCAGCATTTGTTAAAGCTTCATTTGAACTGTCTTCATCCGCTTGTATTTTTGTCCTTATTGACCCTATAAGCTGGGCTGCTTTAGCGTTGGCTTGGGCATCTAACCAGTCATTGTTAGCTTTTATATATTCTGCGCTTTTCATTGCCTTTTGCATGGCTGCGTCGTTATTTTTACTTTCTTGTGCTAAGTTTTCATACTGTACGGTTTGGTTTTGCAACTGTAAAAGTTTTTCTGCCTTTACATTTGCTTCAACTTCTTTTTTATACTCATCGCTATCCATATATGTCTTCAGGGCTTTTTGTTTTATCTCTTCATCTTTCAGTACTTTATATTGAGTAGTATGGTTTTTCAAATTTACAACATCTTGTTCCATTTTTGCTACTTCTGCTGCTTTTTCTGACACTTTTTTCGCATATTCCTCTGTACTTAGTTCTTTCAGTTGTTCTTCTTTCTTCTTTTTCTCTACGTTTAACTCATTGAGTTTCTTTGTGTGTCTGTCATATTCTAGTTTCTTTTCGTTTTCACCTATTTGCTTCTGTATGTCTATGTTTGACTTTTTGACATCTGATATTTGATTTTTGAGTGAACTCAAATTCATTTGACTTTGAGGGTTATAAGCTGTTCCGTCTGCAGCTCCACCATAGCCTGCCATTTTCGCTAAAAGTGCCGCTCTTAAACCTCCACTCTGTGCACCAATAACTCGGCTTAAAAGCATAGGGTTGCTTGACATTTGTTGCAACATAGTGGGGTCATTCAGCATTTGTTGTTGCAACTGTTGTTGTGGTGTCAGTCTTACTTTTGGATGTTTCAATGCTCCCTTCCTCTTACGTATATTCTTACGTAGCTTACGTGGCATTTTAAGTGAAGTTAAAAAGCGGTTTTTGACAGATGTTTATATGACACTTTTTGTTCAGCACAAAAAACTACTCGGTCAAAGTGTACGATGAAATTCATGAAAATTCAAGAGGGTAGAAATGAGGTTAGAAAAGAGGTTAGATCTAACCTTCTACCCTAAACATTATTTTTTGGTCATTTACGCTCATTACGATGAAATCATGACAAAACATTTACGAAGAAGTCTTGACAAAACATGTACGAAGAAGTCTTGACAAAACATTTACGAAGAAGTCTTGACAAAACATTTACGATGAAATCATGACAAAACATTTACGATGAAGTCTTGACAAAACATTTACGAAGAAGTCTTGACAAAACATTTACGATGAAATCATGACAAAACATTTACGATGAAATCATGAGTTTTCTACGATGTTAGAAAACATGTTAGAAAACGTGTTAGATCTAACATGCTAACATAAACATTATTTTTGGTCATTTACGCTCATTACGAAGAAGTTTGACAAAACATTTACGATGAAATCATGACAAAACATTTACGATGAAATCATGAGTTTTCTACGATGTTAGAAAACATGTTAGAAAACGTGTTAGATCTAACATGCTAACATAAACATTATTTTTGGTCATTTACGCTCATTACGAAGAAGTTTGACAAAACATTTACGATGAAATCATGACAAAAAAGTCAACGGCTGGTCGGCTGGGGTTCGGTCCTCCTCTTGGGTCTTGGGAAAAATTTCTTATGGGCTAGAAGGCACGAAGTGCCTGGAAGCCCATCCCAAGAAAAAAAAACTTCATTTATACTAAACATCTTCAGGGCTAGAAGGCACGAAGTGCCTGGAAGCCCCACTACCTTTTTTTTTTTTTTTTTTTTTTTTTTTTTAAATATAAAGTATTCTTTTGTGATTTATCAAATAGCTCAATTTTAAAATAGATTTTATTCTAATAATAAATTGAATGAGTTTCGCTTACGTTTAGAATTTAATGATTTTTTCGTTCACAGAAGAGTCATTGATATCCAATATCACAAAACAGCAAAGACACACCATAATAAATGATATTGAAGCTAAATATTACATATTTCAACATATCTAAAAAATTATTAAGATTAGATCTCATGCAATGCCGAGCAGTTTCCTAAAGCATAATTACTTATTTATACAGAATCATGTATATCATTTTCATATTGCAAATTATATATATTCTCACGAAGCAACATGAAATAGACTGTCCGAATTTAAATTCAAATAAAAATCTAATTCCAAAGATTTTCTTACAATATGTAATCTCGGTGTTGATTACTCGAATACAAAGGATGCACGTAATTTACAAATAGTTGCATTAATAGTAGTACAACAAAAATTTGATTTTTAGCTTGTCACTTGATATATAAAAATTGCAAAAACTCAATCAAAAATAGGATTTGGACAACTTTTTAAAATTGTGAGAAAAATTATATCGGCACATTCTATTCAATTTTAAAGTATTTCTTTCATATTCCAATCGATTATTCAATAATTGCCAATCACAAATTTTAGTTCAAAATTCAAAAAAACCTAATTTTAAACTGTCTTTCATATGTAAAGTCTCCTATTCAAATTTTTAAAAAGGGGTTTTATCAATATTGTGGGGGAGAGGACGATAAGGAGACCGACCAAATGAAAACACTCAATTTTTAGGCATGCCTCAGAAAAATATAAATAAAAATTATATGATATTATGCATGAGGATAGTATATAGATTAAAATAATAATGCTTTATTTTCCCTCTCAATTTTGTAACGTGCTCGAGGAAAATGGTATTACTGAATATAGAATCAGTAATAGGAATACAACAAAACAAATAATATTTTTTTGGATAACAAAGCGTCAAAAGATTATTGAAAATCTGATAAATTGGTAATAAATCAGTGTTACAAGTAGAATAAATCCAACAAAGTGGATGTGATTTTGTAAGGTAACAATTTACATTAAATTCTCTCTTCTTGAGCATCTAATTTGGCAAGCTTTGAGAACAATGAGAAAATTCTTTGTAATAATGGGTATCTTTTCATCATGGAAGATCTGTGTTTTAAATCCTTATAATGACTTTTCTAAAAAGATAATTATGCGTTTTGAAATTCGTGAAATTTGGAATCAGTAAATGAAATCCAACCTCTTTATGAAGCACATCTATGCAAATTTTGATCTTATTTGATCAAAAATGCTTTATTATGGTTTTCTGTAAGAAGATCGAGTTGGTTCCCATTAGAAAGAAAAGTGACAAGAATGAAAAAATTCATATTTTCTTAATATTATTAGTGTATAAAGATCATTTTTATGTTCAATTTAAAATCCATTTTTATCTGAATTTTGGAGTTTTTGACAGATTTTGAAAATTGCATCAAGCAAATTAAAAATAATTTATGATTTTGATATACTGATAATCCTTTTATAGAATAGTATTTCTTCTTACCAGCTTAAAAACACTAAAAACCATATAGTTGCATTTAATAGAAGTGCAAATTCTCAATGCATGTATATTTAATAATGTATTCTTAGTCATATTGCATCAAATTAATAAAAGTAACTAAGGGGATATGATTGCTTTAATATAACATAAACATTAAAATTATCAAATGAGATATATTCCGAAAATGAGCATAATCAACTTGTATTCAAACATACTAACAGAATATGTTCGATTTATACTTCAAAAGCTTTTAATATTTGCTTATAAAATATGATATTTAAACTATTCCAAACAAAGTTGAATTAATCCAATTGAATTATCAGAACACTTATTTAAACTAGGCTAAGATTTATATTTTAATAACAGTTCTGAATAATTCAGATAATTAATACGAGTGGGGGACAAACTCGCCCATTGTCACTTTTCATTAACCTTAAACTTGTAATTTTCATTATTTTTAATTAACCTTATTTCTTTCCCAATTCCTGATTTATTTTATTCACTTACTATTAAAAGTCACATTTTAATAAAATATAATAATTTATTTATAGCATTTTTTACTATACTGTAATAAAAAATTAATTATAATAAATTAAATGTTTATTAAATCAAATGTTTTCTTTGCAATAATATTTTTAATGTTGAGTAAACAATGTTGGGATCAAGTGTATCATTTTTCAGACCTTTCTGAACAGCTTCAAGCATACTGATGCATTCGACTTTTTTAAATTGTGTCATTTCTTCGAAATCTCTTGTGACTTTTTTGATAACTTTAACACTTCTCTCTGAATCCAGACCTTTAATTTGCAACTTAATCAGGAATGAAGGAACAACACTGGAATATAACTCGATGACAAGTTCATCGAGTCGAAGATTTGGTTGTACACCACTTGTATGTGCCGGATACCATTGTGTCAAATTTTTTCTGAAATTAACTTTAAAAGTACTAAGTAAGATCATGAGATATAGCAATATATGTTTAAACCAACTTATATTTTGGTTGTACACCACTTGTATGTGCCGGATACCATTGTGTCAAATTTTTTCTGAAATTAACTTTAAAAGTACTAAGTAAGATCATGAGATATAGCAATATATGTTTAAACCAACTTATATTTTGGTTGTACACCACTTGTATGTGCCGGATACCATTGTGTCAAATTTTTTCTGAAATTAACTTTAAAAGTACTAAGTAAGATCATTTATTTTTGCATAATATAATGCCAATATGGTTTCTTTTGATTTTATTTCATTTATAAGCAAATCAGATTTACCCAAAAACTCCACTCCATAAGCGTTCATTTGCTAAATTAAAAAGTGACAATGGGCTAGTCTGTCCCTTTCTCAATTAATACAATTTTTGAAATCTTCATCACACAAATAGTATTGTTCAAAATTTCGTGTGCAATTTATGAATACATAGGTGATATAACGCGTTCTTGTATTGTTTTATGTTTTTGGAAAGATTGAATATATTTAATATTTTATCAACAATATATCTATGAACAAAACTTTGAAAAAAGAAACTATTTATGATGCCTATTTATATGGTAGAATAAAAGTCTCGAAGTAGGCTACAGGCGAGGAGAAGTTACGTATGAAAAGGAGTTTAATTTCAGATGAAATCTCGCAAAATTAACATTGTTTTAACCATATAAATGTTGTAAACAGAAATTCATCAAAAGTGACACCTCAGAAAAGCTAAAAATAATTGAATTTTTGGAACTTTTGATAGAGCACGTTTTTAAATATTAATTAAAGTAAATGTATATTTTGTAAAGATTCTTTTTTAAAAAAATAAAATTTTGAAGAAGAACACAAAATCTTCTGAAAAATAATATCACATAAACGCATATTATTTTCTAATATATAACTATTTTATATAAAATCAAATGAGTGGGGGACAAACTCGCCCATTGTCACTTTTCATTAACCTTAAACTTGTAATTTTCATTATTTTTAATTAACCTTATTTCTTTCCCAATTCCTGATTTATTTTATTCACTTACTATTAAAAGTCACATTAATAAAATATAATAATTTATTTATAGCATTTTTTACTATACTGTAATAAAAAATTAATTATAATAAATTAAATGTTTATTAAATCAAATGTTTTCTTTGCAATAATATTTTTAATGTTGAGTAAACAATGTTGGGATCAAGTGTATCATTTTTCAGACCTTTCTGAACAGCTTCAAGCATACTGATGCATTCGACTTTTTTAAATTGTGTCATTTCTTCGAAATCTCTTGTGACTTTTTTGATAACTTTAACACTTCTCTCTGAATCCAGACCTTTAATTTGCAACTTAATCAGGAATGAAGGAACAACACTGGAATATAACTCGATGACAAGTTCATCGAGTCGAAGATTTGGTTGTACACCACTTGTATGTGCCGGATACCATTGTGTCAAATTTTTTCTGAAATTAACTTTAAAAGTACTAAGTAAGATCATGAGATATAGCAATATATGTTTAAACCAACTTATATTTTGGTTGTACACCACTTGTATGTGCCGGATACCATTGTGTCAAATTTT